AGAGCGGCGCCGTTCTGTTGACTCTGGGGTATCTCCGACGACGATGACGACTTTGGCGTTTTGTCATCCTCCGCGGTGTCCACTTGCCTTCGCCTGCCTTCGGCCGCGCCCTCCATCGCGTGCATCCTGTTCAAACTGCAATCACAACGATATTTTTCATTAATAACGAGAGCTCATGCTTCAAGAGGTGGACTTGACATTTTACTTTGATATCTAAAATCGATCATGACTATTCTTGTTTGGTAGCAAAATAATTTTAATCGTATAAAATTTATTATAAATATAGAACAAGATGTATATATATAGTATAATGTGTATAATTATAATAGATATATGTATAATAAAATTTTTGAAAAATTATTTCCATTCTCTGACTAAGAAGATCAAATATATAATTAATATTTAGTCATCAAAAATAGTTTCTAGTTTCACAAATAAATAACATTTTTGACTGCAAAATATACATTTCGTACAGAGGGATTATAGAATACAATAAATTCCAAGTTAATTTTAATTAAATTTCCCTGTAAGTAAGGATATAAAATATGATAAGATACTTTGTCATGTAACAAATAACAAATATTATGCAATACATCATACATTATTTTTTAATTATTAGCAACTCCAAATTCATCAAATAATAATCGTCTTGTAATTGTTGCACACTTTTAAATTAGATATAATCCGCGTTTTCTAAAATCCGATCATTAATTAACTATTCACCGAACGTGTCTTTCGCGAAATTCGCGTGATACCAAAAATTTGGTAGAGATTCATGATTAAAAGATTATCTTTTAAAAGAAACTCTTCCTAGGTCATCGAGATTCATTTAATTTTGATTCATTCCAGAAAAATCACGCGCAACATGCGACATGCGCATTTATGCGAAGGTCGATCCTGCAAAACATCCGTTCGAGAGAAACGATGACATTGATAAACCGATAAGCTAGGAGAGTTTCAGTCGACCTTGCCTAGAAAATAATCGTTCGCCGGGGGTCCCAAGGACGTAGGCGACGCCGGTAAAATGGTTCCCGTAGCGTCGCGACGCGCTCATTAATTTGCGCCGTGTCCTCACGTATCGCGGCGTAAATAAAATCTTCATATCACGACCTGATTAGCGCTATAATTAGACGATGTGGCGCAATTTAATCAGTGCTCCATCGGTGTCTCGATTAAACGCGCATAAAGCAACGTTACGTTTGACGAAACGGAAAAGGTTTGATGAAACGACGAATTTTGCTCATTACAAGATGACAGTTATTTATCATAGTTTCATCATTTCATGGCGTGGAATTTCCGGCTTATGTGGAATTTAGTATCTCTATTCTTAATTTGATGTTAAATTGGATTATGGGATTTTCTGAAATCCTTTCTCTTTCTCATTTCGCGTCCAAGCAAGAGACCTGATGATGATCAAGTTGCGAGACATTTTCTAAGATCCCTGAACACGTTACGAGCGGAAAGGCTCGTATTGAACAAAGAAACGCTAAATATCCCATATTTTAAAATACTGGAACATCAATAAAAACATTTATAAAACAAATGATCAGAAAGATCAATTCCTAATATTTTCCCCAAAAAAGGAAAAAAATCCTAAAAATCATCAACTGTTCATGCTGCTATAATAGAATCGGCCCTTAAGCGCGACGATTCTTGTCATGCCACGTTGACGCTATCGCGGCAGGTTCCCTTGACATCGCGACGTCGTCGGTGCACTTTTCACGTCGCGTCGCATCGTCGCACTCGACGCATTCCGTCGTGGTGGATCGCGAGCTGCGATCGCGCGAAAATGGACCTTAATCCGCGTGCGCCACGTTTGATAGGAGACGTCGAGCGAGATGGCCAGAGAAGAGAAGGAAGAGGAGGAGAAGGTCGGGAGGAAGGATGGGATGATGCCAGTCGGTGGAGAAGGGGTGTAATGAAAAGAGAGAGAGAGAGAGAGAGAGAGAAAGTACGAGAGAGAAAGGAAAAGATACGGAGCGGAGTTCGTTGCACCCGCTCGCGTTCACTGCGCTTTATAGACGCGGATATAGGTTTCGCGGTACCAATTCTGAAAAGGCGCGCGAGCAGCTCTTCCTTGCTCGCGAGAGCCCGAATCGCGTTGGGGAACGTCGTCTTGTAGCGATTAGATAGGAGCATTCCCGTTTATAGGACAGACCCTTCTTATCACTAACAGTTATCTGTTTGATATTGTGGCCGTTGAAAACAATTGTTACGCAAAGTGAATAGAAAACACATACAAGAATGAATGAGTGAACGAATGAATGAATGAATGAAAAGAAGAGAAACTGAAAACACACATACACACAAATTAAATGTTAACCATTTAAAATAATTAAACGCTCCGATAGACAAGTTCCAAGAAAGATAAGTCTAACGATTTTTATTGGGAATCGTCATTAACGAAATGACTCAATAAATCTGTGTATTCTTTGTTACGAACATCAACACAGAAATCAGTTAGATGTCGAAAGAGATTATTTTATCGAATCGTATTGTGAGCTTCCCAAGAATGTGTGCTTCCACTTTTCTTTCTTTTTGCTTCCTCATAGAGGAAGCTTTGTTTTCATGATAAAATTTTTTTTCCAGTTTTCTATGCCAATGTGCTCAGAATGTTCGAAAAATGTCGAAAAATCACATTTTTTTAAAATGTCCGTATGTATGTGTGTATGTACGGATTGATCGAAAATGTCTGTGCAAGTTCTAACTTTCCGTAAATTTTGAGTATTGGGCTAAATTTTTTAAAATGAATAAAGTATCATTAAAGGGTGGTTGGTATTAAATTTGGTGAGAATCGGTGAAGAGTCCATTTTTTATAAAATTTTGAATTTTTTGGAAAATGTCTGTGCACGTTCTAACTTTCGCAAATTTTGAGATACCGGGCTAAATTTTTTTTTTTTTAATGAATACGGAATTATTAAAGGATGGTTGGTAGTGAATTTGATAAGGATCGGTGAAAGGATCCATTTTTTACGAAATTTTGAATTTTTTGAAAAATGTCTGTGCACAATGTCATTTGCGTCTTTCCGCAAATTTCGAGATACCGAGCTAAATTTTTTAACATGGATAGAGTATCATTAAAGAGTAGTTGATATTAAATTTGATGAGAATTGGTGAAAGGATACATTTTTTATAAAATTTTGAATTTTTAAAAAAATATCTATGCACGCTTTAATTTCCGAAAATTTCGAGATGACGAGCTAAATTTTTTAATATAATAAAGCTTCCTCTATGAGGAAGCCAAAATTGAAAAACCCTTTTGTTCTGAGGAGGAGCTTTGTGAGCGAAATAAAATGATGAAAAAGCAATGTGCAAGTTTCTAATTTCGCCAATTTTTTTCATATTTTTCTAAATGTAATAAATACATATTTGTAATCGTCGATAAATAGCAAAAGGAGAGAAAGAGTAAAGAAATCTCGAAAAACACTTAAAAAAGCGGGAGCTTTGTGAGCGAAATAAAATGATGAAAAAGCAATGTGCAAGTTTCTAATTTCGCACGATTTGCACGATTTTTTTCATAGTAACAGGTTGCATTCGGCGGCTAAATTAATTCACGGGTACATATATACATAATGAGGAAACATTCATTCGATTGGCGCGTTAATATGCTTAATAAAACACGTCGCGATATAATTGCTTTATAAATGTATAGGGAAGTGACATGATGTCAAAGTACAACGACACTGATATCTCCGTCGAAAACGGAAGAAAATAACGGGAAGACAAAAGCGGAATAAACCAAGTATTTGACAATTGCAAAGAGGAATTTCGTATAATTTGATGCCCGCATGATTTCATCGCCTCTCGAATTTTTCTAAATGAATAATTTCGTTTCGAGAGATTTTCGAGACGCGTCGTTATTACACCGTGCTCGGGAAGGGCTCGAAAATACGGGAAGCCCTTCGAGTGTACCCGCAGAAACTCGATAACCACCTCGAACGTCCCACCGATCTCTACGATGGTGACTATAGAGATCCACCGCAGTTTCGTAAGTGAATTAAATTGTCATTGACGTATATCAACATGCAATTTTTATTTATACGGTCGCTTATCGTTTGCGAACTGCGGATAAAGATGATCTTCCTACGAGGATGAACTTTCGCCGAAGGGAGGATATTGATTATTGATACGGATCCATTCATCGCGAGACGCGATAACCAAGATGTATCGAATCGCGAATGATGATGGTAACTGGCAAACACATGTAAACACGTCCGAATGATTTTTGTCGCGATCATTTAAATATTTAAAACAATACCTGTATTTTTTCGTCGCGCTCTACCTTTTACATCTAGTCATCGAGCGAGCAGTTTATTAGCTTTCCTTGGCGTTTTTACGGTATAACGATAGCGAAAGTGAGGGGAGAAAGCGAGACTGTTCGGTGGGCAGCACTCGTTTGAAATGCGCAAGCACGTGAAACGGGAAAAATAAATCGCCGTGCCGGTTAACGAACGGAAGAGATGCAAATCTCGGAGATCGCGTACATTCTTCTAATTGCGATTTAAATTTTTTTCCCATCACGCGATCTTGGACGAGACCCGAAAATAGCTCTCCAGAGATAGACAGATAAAAAATCACGTCGCGCTATTTTCCGCAGGACCTTCAATTTTCAATGTAGGACAGCGAAAGAGCCACTGCCACGGTATGTGCTTGGCTTATATATATCGCGCCTATGTATCTGCCGTAGCTGCAGGCGCGACGCCAAGTTGAGAAGAGAGGTAGCTACGCTTATGTACATCCACTGCGTAGCAAGGTAAATGGATGGTCTCTCATGTACGTAGGCGCCTACATAGTTGCAGATCGATATATATATATATATATATATATATATATATATGCAAATTTGTGCATTATTTTCCATTCCGCATTTGCTCACCGATTGGATGGATTTTCGCAGGTTGAAAGATTGATAAGAGATTATCGAAGAAATGGAATAGCGTTTTGCAGCACTGTGCAATTTCTTCAAGATCCGGTAAGTCAACGACTCTCTAACACACGTGGGTATATAAATATATCGAGCGGTGCGCCGGCGTATCGCGCCGGAATAGAGTGCATTAGAAAGCAGCTTCGATTCTTTAGAATCTGCAAACCAGACATTAATGTTCCAGTCGTTTCGTGGTCTCGCTTTTTTCGCT